TTTCATACTTTTGGGATTCCAGGAAGATGCTGGGATTGGGTGAACCAGAGCCCGAAAAGGAACACATAATAACGAGGAACACATATAGTTATTTTTATTGTTGATCGAGTTTTTGCTGGAGTTGTTTCTTCTCTTCTTGCAAAAGTGTGCAAAAACATTGCCCAAAAGGTCCTCTAGAGTCTAGAGCGGCCCTTTCTGATATGGGTAATAAAGACGTGCGTGGTCGCCTGTAGAAGTGGCTTTGTTTTGTTTGTCCGATCACTCCACCACAGATCTAGGGTATAAGTGCGTTGTGAGTGCTTATTGCTGGTGTAGAGGCAAGCTTTGGCCCCTTTCAAGCAGATGCCAAGCCAGCTCTTGAAGACCCGGACGACAAATGGCAATGAGAGTGCATGCAATTTCCTGCATTGTCTTTCCATGATGTACCTGTTTTATTTTCATGTGCGGTGCCTTTCATTTTCGTTTCATTTGCTTTAATGTTCTGTTCATTTCACCAATTTTCTTGTCAAAAGCAATGATTTAAGAGTGACAAAAACAAGTGAACAATTGTGCGTTAGGAGAAAAGCTAGTAATGTCCTTGAATGTCCTTTAATTTCCTTTGGTTTCCTGGTTTCCCTGCATGTTGTCTTCATTTTCCTTTCAGGTTCCTTTCTTTGCCCTTCAAACATCGATAAAAACTGAGGGAAATGAAAGGAACCAGCTCAAAACACTATTGTTCACCCTTTTTTCATGTTTAGCATGCAATTGTCTGTAGAACGCTATTTCAACTCAATGTTTTGTTCACTCCCAAATCACTCATATGTGTTTCTCTTCCACACAGTCTGTGGGTAAGTGCGGGAAGCTTCTGGAAATGGAGCAAGGGGCGGACAATAAACACACTCTACCCGAGTGTGTGTGTGTGTAACCCTTGGAATCATAGGGATCCTTTTGGATCTTAGCAGGGGGGCGCAGCAGATGCAAGGGACTGCGCCTAACAAAGCTACCTTGCATCTGGGAAGCCAGGTCTGATCAACCTGGTGTACCTGCTTTTGAGAACCTAAGTACGGCAAAAGCTGTCTCATTCTTTGTTGTGCAGTAAGTGGCTAATGCAGCGGCGAGGAACCTGGCTTTTGCACGCACGTCGTCACCTTGTCGTCCGCTCG